TTAACATCTCGATACCACGCAGGCAGTGGATGGGGGCAAAGCTTGCGGCACGCTCGCTCGCTGGTGGCAGACGAACGACGGTGCAGTGCGCATAGAGGAGTTAAACGAGTATGGATAAACCGTCGGGTGAGCGCGATGGCTTTGATGATTCCCTGCTTCACAAACGAAGGCAAAGCCCGAGCAGCTGTGGACATTCTATTCCCTGTTGTCTCTTGAAGAGGCGCTGAACATTTTCCTGCACGTCATGCTCCATCATTGTGGAAGGAAAGTCAGAAAGTTTTGAGGTGTGAGATAATTAGCCGAGGCCATGCATTCATATTCAGGCTGAACGTCATGATATATTACGCCGGCAGTGTTTGCGTGCAGCTGCACATCTTAAACGATTCTCTCTGCACCAAATGCTTTCAATTAACCACAAGAACGTCACGAATTACGCGAGTGTGTATAATAGAACCCGAGTAAAATGGCAATAAGACAAAAAAACATCCTGATCATCTTTGTTCTCGTTGCATCAGCTTTAACCTGGCGTTCATTAATAGTGATTGGCTCAACAGCCCTTTTTACGTAGAACACACAAACGCACGTAACACAAGCGCATAATGAATGAACGCGCAGCGAGCCCTCGTGCACGTACCGGTTCCGGCGCACAGATGGACGTTCAAGCGCACCGCTTTCTGACAAACACAAAAGGCTTAAAAAAAACGGACTCCCGCCACCAAAATTAAAAGCCAATTTAACGTATTAAATGATTAACACTGACTTACAGAAGCCACCGTAATTGAAGAGCAGTATACAAATAACATTATTTAACTCACCGCACTGGGTCTCAGTGCGGTAATAACGTCATTAAGAATATTACCGCTTATAATTACCGCGCAGTCGTTCTGCATTTTAATATAAATTGCTAATGAACACTTTTAATTGACTTGTATTTCCTGGTGGCAATAAAGATCTAAATTAATGTTCATTATTTTCAAGAGCCGTTCGCGTCCGGCTGGGCCCTGAGCACAGACGCGAGAGGCTGCGCCAACCACCACCATCCGTGGGATTTCACCAACACCCCGGACGAGTTGGTCCACTGCATTTCATTTCCTTGCAATAAAAAAAGCTGTTTCGCAATGAGCTCCGCGGTGAGGATGTAAATTATCAATTCCTCCCCCCCCCCCCCACACGTACACACTTTCAGGAGCCGGGGATGTTGGAGATGCATTTGCCTACACTTGCTAATGATGTCCCATCAAGTGCCAGGAGTATTAATTATAGAGCGGCTGAATTGTTCCCCTTACGAGAAATCCCAAGGAAAGGTGGGGGATCTGGGCTGAAAACCTGCCCTAATAATGAGCTTAGCTTCACATTATTTCCTCTCCGCTTGCCACGGATTACGCTTATCTTCGAGTTTTTTTTTTTTCAAACGCGCTCGCAAATAACTCAGTTATGCTGCCCCCCTCCCGATGGAAGAAAAACAAATGCCGTTGTGATGCGTGGCCCCATTGTAACAGTGATATTCGGTGCGCTGGTTTGTTTGGCTGCACGCGGAAGTAAATCCGGTTAGAATCCAATTGTTCTGTTTTATGAACAGTGGTGCGGGAATTCATAAACACCCAATGTTTAGCTTTTATTTTCCTCTAACAACGAAGGTGCAAGTCTTTATTTAATAACAGATGTTATTAAATAAAGATGTTATTAAAGCATATAAATACTGGATTTTGGCACCGCAATGCACGTATTTAAGAGCTTACATTATTTAATGTCACAATACAAAAATATACACGTGTTGTGCATTAGCTCTGCGTTCACATCGGTTTAAACAATTACCCGTAAAGGAATTTCTTTTGCTGCGATATAAAATATTAAGGGACCGCATTTAAGTGAATATGCAAAAGTTTAACCCATATACCTGTAAAAAGAGTATTAAGTGCTAACCAGACTGTTATAAAAGACATAAAACTCGTGCAGATGTTTCTTTAAATTGTAAACATACGTAGATATTTTTTTTACCATTCACTTGTACATGAACACATTTATAAATATATACGCACAGGATATAATATAAATGTTGATTTATATTGCAAATTTACACATAAATTCGTTGTACATATACACATATGAAGACACATTTGCCAATAGTTGTACCCGTTTTAACTGACATCACACGCACTCGGCACTCAAACACGTACGTATGCGCACTTATACACCTTCACACACTTTGCACGCATGCAACTAATACACAGCACTCGTACGTGCTTAAATAAGTTAACACTTACGCACAAAAACACACTGTTTACACTACGCACATTTACGCAAACCGCATTAACTCACAAACTCCGCGCTCTAAACGTATACATTTGCATACACACGCCTCGACGTGTACGTATATAGTACAACATTAAGGACCGCCAATTTGTATTTTAAAAACAAATTCTAAACGATGTCGAGACAGCGAATAGAACAACAAGCAAAGAGTGCAGCCTGCCCCCCTCCCGTCCCGCACCTGCGTGCACCTGCATCGTGTAACCCGGGGGGGGGGGGGGTCGGTGCAAGTCGCACGCCGGGACACGACCTGCACGCGAAGACGCGCCGCCGCTCACTCGGCAGGAGTTCAGCGCGCGCACGCGAAGTCTCCAAATCGACCGAGGGCGGTGGCGGGCGAGTGGAAGTTGGCACCTTGTAATTACCTGGGTGACGTGTCAGACCATGCTTAGCAGGGAGGGCAGAGCCGTTAGTGGCCGGGCAGGCGGGCAGGCGGGCGGGCAGGCGGGCAGGCGGGAGGCTGTCAGCAAGGGCTCAGGGTTCCACGCAAAGTGAGCGGCGGTAGCAGCCGCGGTAACGGCAGCAGAAGCGGCGGTCGAGACAGCAGGAATCCCTGCAGATGCTCGCCTCGTACACCACCACCCCCCACCGCCACCGCCTCCTCCTCTATTCGGACTTGCGGCATCTACCCACTCCCGCCCTCGTTCGCTCAAGCCACGCCAAGCCGAGACCTCTGCCGGGCCACTAAATCAGCCGGTCCCATTAACAAAGCCGCCGCCCCCACCCCCATTCGCAACAATTAGTCCATCACTTCCAGTTGTCCTCGGCCTTGTTACGGCAGCGGCGAGCCCCCTTTTTTTGGTTATCACCGCACGTGGACTCTGGCGGGCCGCGTGGCGCGGGCAAGGGGCTATCCCCCCACCGTGGACGGAGTTTGGGGGGGGGGGCGAAACGGGGAAGGCGATGGGGGGGGGGGAGTCGGGGGAAGGCGATGGGACGGGGGGGGGGGTACGGTGCGCGAGAATCTGTGGGCCTGCTCAAGAACGAGAGGGCGCTCAGCACAGATTTATCGCTCGTACGTTTACGGCGCCGCTGCGCGTACGGAGAGCTGGCACAAAAAGAGAGAGGCCTCCATCGACAAAGCTCCGTATTGATTTGAGCTAAATGCGAGTCATAAGCAATGGCTTGAATGCACTTCATCTGACATGCACGGATATACATAGAGTACAGTTTGTGTCCGGTCTGCAGACTCTGCGTTATATGCGTATGCTCTGCGATTCATAATTGGCTCCAACAATGCCAAACTGATGGATGTGAATTTTCCGCCGAACATTTTTTTATTCGCATTAATAACGGCGCCATGAAACATTTATATCACAAATTAAACACCGCGCACGATTGCGGTGCGATACGTTAAAATCGTATTGGCTTAAAGTTTAACATTTATAACAGACCATACATATATGAAATATTTTTGGATCCTTTATTATCGTTATAATTGTATCAAAATTGTGTTTGCTGACAAAAACGCTTGATACAATAAATAATTTATAATTTAAATTGTTGCTTTATCATCCATGTATAAATGACACATTTCTTTGTTACGTGTTAAACACAAATACATTTGAACGTTGCTATATATATCAATTGATAAAATTACCTAATTGTGAACAATTAAATTAACACATTTAATTATCAACGCACGTGAAAACAAACGTCGCTTAGTCAAACATCCCTGACACACGGCCACCCAGCAGCAAATAATGTTTACATCGAATACGGACGTTCCAATATTTTAAACTAAAGATTTTGAGTAATAAAAAAAACTTTAACACATTCATCTAGAACATGAAAACACCAGAGCATTGAGATACATGTTTAAATCTAACAAACGAATGATTATTGTTGCAGCAGTATCGTCACAAACTCCGATAAGGCAACAACGCCTGCAATATTTATGCCCCAATTCAATCCTTCCGACTGGGAGATCCAACCCCCACCCATCCCCATCCACCCTTTCCTCTAAGGCCAGCCAAGGATCCCCTCTGACCCCTAACAGGGCAACACAAAGGGGATCCCGAATGAACTTTTGAGAAGAGAAAAAAAATCGCTCAATCAATCAGTGGGCAGCGAGAGAGCCCTGCACAGCCCCCCCGCACGTGCTCACGAGGGAGAGGAGAGAGAGAGGAGAGAGAGAGCGGCGGGCACGGGGATTGACCGGCGAGTTTCACGGGGAAAGCGGCGATCACAGCGGCAGCAGCGGACAGAACAAACCGGCAAAACCCCCGCGGATCTGGGATGTGACTGCAAGGCCCCCCCACCACCTCCTTACCTTTGTTGCCACTGCGTCTCGGACGAGTGGTGGGGGGGGGGGGGACGAAAAAAAACCGGAGGCAACAGAATAACCGAGGCGTCCGTCGTCTGCAAGAGCGCTCGACTCGTCAGAAGTTTTTTGTTGTTGTTGATGTTGTTGTTGTTGCTTTAGTTTTGTCTCTCTGTCTCTCTTCTCCCACAGGGCTTCGTTCGACCCGAAAGCAACGGGGGGGGGGGGGGGGGGAGCGTGTGGGAGGCACCGTCCGACTCTTCACGACTCTGCTCGCCGCCGTCGCAGCCGTCACCGCCTCCGAGTCGCAGCGGCGGACGCGCGCTGCGCGCTCACGACGCCGCAGATGCCGCCTGTTTACCGGCGTGTTTACCCGTCTGTTTACCCGTCTGTTTACCCGTCTGTTTACCCTCGCGCCAAGTCGCACCTTTGGCCGGTCTCATCCGAAGCCCCGCGGCTGCGGCGGCGGCATTTTCCCTTCCTTCCTCCCTCCTCCCCCCGCCGCCACACACACCGTGGCACCCTAATTACCGCTAAAACAAATCGGAGAGGGGAGTTTTGTGCGAGGGCCTCGCGGGTGGGGGAGGAGAGAGCGCGGAGTGCGGGGGGAGGACGAACGCAGCGCGGCGAGATGATTCTTGAGCCGAGGGGGTGGTGGTGGGGATGCGGTTGGAAATGTGCTGCGGAGACCTCTCCCTGATTGTTTAGTCGTCTGCAGGCAATCATACACACAATCAATGTTTAATCACTGTCGAGGGGCGTGCGGGAGAGGGGAGGGGGGGGCATGTCTCTGGCTCGAGACGTGAGAGGTGACTAAGGTCTGGGGAGTTGTCGCGCGCCGTAAAGTCTCGAGCAGAGGCGCACTCGAAAGGAGAGAGAGCGAGGAGGGGACGACAACCCCAGAAAGGACAGAGGAGCAACAACTCTACCTCCTACAGCACGCATCCTCCTCTCTTCACTCTCTCTGCGCTGTTGCTGCTATTGAGTGAAAGTTACCACGAAGAGGAGAGCGATCGCTGTGCCCGTGCGACTTTGCGCGTCGCGCACGGAGCCAACGCTGTTCTCTTCATCCGTCGCGGTGCCACGTGCGCGCGTACGACGCGTGCAAGCAGTAGGGCTGAACGATTTGGGGGAAACGTATCTAATTGCGATTTTTCTGACAGATATTGCGATTGCGACTTGAGATAATTTTTTTTAAGTCAAGCATCAGTTCAACATTCACTGCGTAATAGATTTAAAACATGATGGAGCATTACCACATGATACCATCAAAATATGAACTGCTCTGTATATTCTAATGCAAGGATGAGAACTTAAAATATATGAATTGCTTCCATAATGTATTTATTAAAATGTGTAATTGAAATAGGACAATCAGAATATAACAATTGTTAAGTAAAATTAATAAAGTTATGAAGATAAAAAATGAAACAATTCCAATAAGAAAGTAACATGACTTTTCAAATCGCAAAAAATCGAAGCCTTTGCGATTTGCTAATCGCATTGTTTCAATTTTCGATTTAAAATCGATCAATTGTTCAGCCATAGCAAGGACCGAGGTGCAGAGAGAGAGAGAGAGGACACGACGTCGAACGTCGTTGTATGTGTGTGTGCCGTTGTGTGCCGGAAACACAACGCTTTGCCTTGGTAAAAAAGAAAACATTATCGCGTCACCGAATGTTTGCGACGACGTTCGGCCGACGTTCGGCGCCACAAGGTGCTCGTGTGCGAGTGATACCGCGTGCTCCAATGGGGCTCTCACGCGGCGTTTCAACAAACGGCATTGATGGATTCATCAGTGTCGTGGATTAAATCGCGTGACTATATAAATGTGTCGTTAAACCCACCACCACCCGACACAGCCAATTAGTAACGGGTTGTCACGTAAACAAAATGTTGCAATTCGTTATTAGTTCAGCACACCGGTGTGTTGGGGAGTAAACCCACAAAATATAGAATTCGAGTGCGACGTTTCGCCAGTAATTACAATGCGCATCATGGACTTTGTGCATTTGATTTTTTTTATCATAATGCCTTCAGCAATGATACAGTGTGCACATTACATACGTTTAATTCTAAAGCATCTGTACGAGCAGCCAATACCGATACTGTATGTAGAATGTCTCAGTAACCTACTGATTATTCCATTTAATGGACCTATAAAACAAGTGGCAACGATATTTTCTGATGATTTTTAGCTAAACAACCCGCAATTTGTACACGGCATTTGCACAATGGGAAAACGCCATTGTGCAGTAACGTGGCTGTTATACATTGATCGGTAACCAATGTTATAATTAACAACCATAATAGCGGTGTTTGGGTTCGAGACTGAGTGTAGAATCAAGTCGGTGTGTGTGTGTATGTTTAATCCAGGTAATGCTCCTGCGCCATTCATTCCACGCAAAACCGCGCAAGTGTCGCTTAATGAAAATAAAACGCGCACATACGTAAGATAAAGACAAAGATCCCCCGTGTAGCCTGCACGGACTGTTGGGGCAAGTGCTGTTAGCGAGCACCTATGAAGACCGGCATGGGGTGGGTGGACAACACCACGCCCGACCGCCTTTGTCTCCCGAGTGGCGATGATTAATTACAAACCGCACCAGGTACTCATTTGAGGCTGAGTCGACCTCCGGGAGGCCAAGGAGCAATTCAAATAATAATAATAATAATCGCTTTTACTGGTGTTGGCCGTGAACGGGAATCGAACCCGGTGGCCGAGTTCGTAGCGCAGCGCGCTATCCTCTACATTGACACACACACACTGCTCACACAAAGCTCAATGCTAAACGTCTTAAGACAAAGACGTACCGCCGCCGGTGCTCTTGTCAACTCGACACAAACTGCTGCGGTAAACATCGCCCATTGTGCGTTGGATCGGCATTCCGCCGGCTGCAAATTCTTCCCTTCCGTCCGTACGGGTCTACGAAGATCGGCGCGATTAGAGAAGCCGTCCCAAAACGATGTTAGCCAAGCAAGTTGCTTCGCCTGAGAAGTTGGTCAATCGCAAACACACCCACCCACTCACCGCCCCCATATCTATATTTATATAGGCAGGGGGGGGGGCTGAGCAAAGTTGTACGGTCCACGGTTTTGGTAGCCGCAATCGCACACAGGACACAGATTCATAAATCAGAGAGAGAGACAATAAAAGTGGTGACTCCCCGGGCTGCGAGTGGGAATGGCTCACTCACACGTTACCCCGGCCAGAACGGGCGGAGGGAGGGTGTAGGGTGGGGGGCAGCGAGGGGGGGAATTGAAACGTTAACAAGTTCAAAGCCAAGTCTGGGCAGCGCACCAGGGGCTAATTTGATCGGGCAGTAAATTAATAACTCGGCTTGTAAAGACACAAGTGGCAATAAAGCAGCATTACCGGCTCCACGTGACGTTCTTCGACTACGCGTTATAAGCACCCGAATAAACATTATAGCAGGCTCAAAGAAAACAAACCCCAGTTGAATATATGTAATACCAGATTGCTCTAAATGCTAATGTGCTTTTTTTTATGGCCGCAGTGTTAAAGTGGATCGCACACGACTTAACCGATGAGTTAATTGTAATGATTTCTACAACATAAAAACAGCATTACGTGTTTGAGCTGTGCAGTACGCAGATGTAATGTTACGAAGGATAGACTGCTCCCCGTCATAAGAATGTGGAGTTCCCACCGTTGGCTCAGGATGAGCATGAATGATGCCCTCTCGTCATCTGAGGAGAGAGAAACTTGACACACCTCACGTGCAGTAAAAAGCGCCGCTAATTGCTTTACATGGCACCAACATATCAGATCAACTTTGATTCCATATTTAATTTGAATTAGTGCACTACACACATACTCCCTTTTTAACGCTTTGCAACTCAGGTTTAAACCATTAATCGCTTAACTATTTCTGTCCGTAATAGAGAGCATTAAACGCGATCCAATTTGCAAGAGCGTTGGCTACGCAACCTACGATCTAAACGCTCGGATGTGAACAAAACTTTGTTACGAAGTTGGGTTGCTATTATAGATTTACGTGAGAGAAATACGCCTCCTTTAGCCGAATAGTCGCCCGAGCCTTCCCTGACAGAGCCGCTATCTGGTCTTCGTTGTCTTCACGCGGCCTACACATTGTAACACTTCCTACGCACCTGGAGAGAGAGAGATAGAGAGTGAGAGCTTGCTACCGCTATGATCAATTACCTTGGCGAACAAGCGCGCGTTGAACAGCGTTAGAATAAAAGTACATGTGTGTGCATGATTTTTCTTCCTCGCTTCTACCAAGCGCTCCCTCCGATGACAAGCGCACGTTAGACAGCATTAGATGTTAACTCCCTCGCCTGGTATACAGGAGGTCGTATGTTCGATCCAGAACCTGGCTATGCCTGTATATATTTGAAGTTTGCAAACATGGTCGTGTGGACTTTTCTCCGGATCCTCCGGCCTTTTCCCTCCACAATTATTAACATGCGTCTACAATATTTGCCAGCTATAAATGTTCACGTGACAAGCCAGGTCGCTTCTGAAAAAAACATCTATCAAGCCCAGCGGACCTTACCTGGTCAAATAAAACAGTTAAGTTCAATTTTTTTGATCCATGCGTGTGGGTGCTTTTTCTTCCTCGTTTTCTCACCCTCGCGCTCGCATCCGACTCGCGCAACCCCCACGTCGCAAGGCAACGCCCTGGGGGTCTCACGCAGCGACTGGGCGCGCAAGGGGACGCGGGCGGAGCGAGGAGGACGAGGAGGAGAGAGCCACACGCACGCGTGATGGCACTGCCGCCCCCCGCCACGGCTAGCGAGAGTCGTCTCAGCGTGCCACAACGCAAAGGCACAAACACAAGCGGACCCAAGTCTGGGGTGGTGTATACACCCCCCCCCCCCACTCGCTTTGCGCGCCCACCATCAGGTTAGGGGTTGTCACTTTCCCAGGAAAATTAAGCGGATTTTTTCTCTTTTTTTTCTGACCAAACTCAGCTCCAAGTCTAAACAGACCATTAGTCATGCTGCTTGCATGTCAAAGGGGTGGGGGGGATCCATAACTGAAGTATTTGTAGCCATAACAGTGTGCTTATTTGTTGTGAGATGTACCATGTCATGATGTGTTTATGTTGTCAGTGGCTGTCCCGTGGAGGTTTTCAAAGGTAGGGGGGGGGAACAACACGCAGAGCTCGCCAGAGAGCACTCAATTTAAAAGTGCCCTTCGCATTGTAAATCTCTGTAAACACATCTCAGCTTTTCGCATTCAAATTTATCTCCCGAAGCCCCCTCTTTGTCGTTCCCCGCGAGAGCCTCGCTCCCCGGGGCTCGCGACTCTGTGGGAGGGACCCCGTCTCTCCCTCCCCCTGTAGGAGGAGAGGCGACGCGGGACTAACGCACAAAGACAAAGGTCCCCCGTATAGCCTCACCGGACTGTCGCGGGACAAGTGTTGTTAGTGGGTAGCACCGATGAAGGCCGGCACGACACCACGAGGGGGTGGGTGACCAGCACCACGCCCGTCCGCCTTAGTCTCCCTAGTGGCGATGTTTACACACCGCAGCGGGTACTGATTTTGAGGCTGAGTCGACCTAGGGGAGGCCCACGACCGGTTGAGATAATCGTCACTGGTGTTGGTCGTGAGCGGGAATCGAACTCGGGTCGCCGGGTTCGGAGCGTAGCGCTAACCACGACACTACCGCTCCCCACATTCACGTGCCGACACATACACAACATAGACAAAGACCTCACCCCCCTCTTCCCCCTA